GTGGTTAGACAGAAAATCAGAGTTCTGTAATATATGAAAATAATATGTGGAAATTAGCAATATTCAATACATATTTTTTCTGATTAGGATTTAATTCAGTGGTGAGATTCATTTTTTTTTACTACTCGTTCGGTGGGCGTGGCTTGGTGGGCGTGGCTTGGTGGACATGGCAGCGAAAGGATACTGTAAAATCCCCATTCCCTCTCCACTCCAGGGGAAGGTTATTGCAAAATCCCCATTTCCTCCCGATCAGCTGGGACTCAGGAGGCAGAGAATAGATGAGGGCGGGGCCTATCAGAGGTGGCATTTACTGGTTCTCCGAACTACTCAAAATTTCCACAACCAGTTCTCCAGAACTGGTCAGAACCTGCTGAATAACACTTCTGATTTAATTTTCTGAGTTTGTCTTCACCCCCACAAAATATATACAGTTAGAAAGCAAAGGATAGGAAAGCCAGATGCCATGGATTGCAGCCTTGCACATTCTTAAGAGTTTTTGGCTGCTGGGGTTTTCTGTCTCTGCTATGAGAATAGTCTTCATATTTTGAACCCTCCTAAAATTTCTGTGTGATTTTAGAAGGCTACAGCATTAGATTTCAGAGATCCATTTTGATGTAGTGGTTAAGATTCTGGTCTAGAAACAACCAGGAGACTTACAGTAGTCCCGCCTTGGGCCTGAAAGTTGGCTGGGTGATTTGGGTGCCAGTCAACCTTCTCTCAGGCCAAATCACCTCATTGGGTTGTTGTGGTGGGGAAAATAGGAGGAAGAAAGAGTAGATACGTTCTCTGCTTTGAGTTACTTATAAAATAATAAAGATGAGACAGCAAAGTCTTTGTAAAAGTAACTTTCCTTGAAGTTTTTAGCCAAGTGTTCAGTTTCTGCTTGGAAGCAATAACCTCTTGGGCAAACACTCTGTGAGAGATAAAGAGATGCCAGTTCCCAGGGACAAAACACTGGGAAGGTAGAATTCAATTATTAAGCTTCATTTTTGTACAATGCTTTAACATTCCAATGTGAGGCTGAGGTGGGAGGTTAACTTGTGTCATTAAATTCTCTTTGAGGGCTATTATAGCTCCTATCTGCTCATACCATTTATTTTTCCAGTTGAAATGGAATATTAAATAGTATTTTTAATTGTTAGCTCGTTCCAGGAGAAAACTGTGACCCAATTCCACATCAGTTGTTAAAGAAATATGTTGGCTATGCAAGGCAATACGTTCATCCCAAGCTATCTCTAGAAGCTGCTCAGATACTCCAGAAATTCTATCTTGAGCTCAGACAACAAAGTCAAAGAGCAGATAGTACACCCATCACAACACGACAGCTAGAATCATTGATCCGCCTAACTGAGGTAAGTGTTACTAAGAATTTTATAGTAGATGTATTTTGACAGCCCAAAGTACTGGATTTTAAAACATGGAGACTATAATACAGATTGTTTTTCTGGTTATATCTGGTTTATTTTAAATGGCACATGTAGATGCTACCTGACACTGAAAATTGATCAAATTTAAATATTTTTGTGACTTGATGAAAACCAATGTTTCTACCAATTAAATATGGATGATTTGTATATAATATTAGCATTACTGCTTTTTTTTAAAGGCACGATCCAGATTAGAGTTAAGAGAAAAGGCTACCAAAGAAGATGCTGAGGATGTTGTTGAAATAATGAAATACAGGTAGTACAAACTTAATAAAGTACCATGGTAACAAAATAAAAATCTATGAGCTTGCAATCTGCAAACTGAATAATATGCAAACTGATCAGCAGTGGGTTCCGGTAGGCACTACTGCCGGTTCACTCATGCACGCGCTTGATGCACACTGCGCGCGCATGCAAAATTGTTCTGCATATGCACAGAAGTGAAAAACAAGATGACGCAGCCTACGGCTCTGCCCAGAAACCAGTTTGGGGGCATGGCAGGCCTGAGTCGCTGCCAGTTCCAGTGACCCAGGCCGCCAAATCACTACCGGTTCGAGTGAACCGGTCTGAACTGGTAGGAACCCACCACTGAAACTGATGCATTTTTCAACAAATATAAATCAAAGTATTTTGAGAAATAATCCAAAGTAGAGTAACATGCATTCAATAACCCTAGCACAACCTAGTAGAATTATAAAGTGAATGTGCTCTTTTATTAAGCTCATTAAAACTTTCTGATTAAGAAAAAAACCAAAGAAAGTTCTCTGCCTCGTTTGCAGTTGTATTTTTAATTTCACCCTCTTGCTGACTATGTACATTTTGGTTCACTCTTTTCTCAAGTATGTTAGGAACTTACTCTGATGAGTTTGGGAAATTGGATTTTGAGCGTTCTCAGCATGGTTCTGGAATGAGCAAAAGGTCCCAAGCAAAGAAATTTATTTCTGCCCTCCATCGTGTTGCAGAAAGAACTTATAACAACATTTTTGAGCTTCATCAACTCCGGCAGGTTGCTAATGAATTTAATATGAAAGTAAGTTAAAATAAATATGTACTCTAGAAGGATAAAATTAGCTATTTGATATTATCAGCTATTGATGTTAACAGTTGGAAGAGAGAGGGTTACTGTTGCTTCCACTATCTCTGGTTCTATTGATTGAAGGGACCTGGAGTTCCAGCTTTACTTTAGAAACAATATTTGAGTTTGATAGTATTGAATGTGACTTGCAGATGACAAAAAATATATTTTGTTGCTTAGGAATTTTGTTCTTGTTATTGGATGGAGGTAATATTTAAGCTATTTTAACTGAAAGTCCTTTAAAGTTGTATTCTTTCTGCAATATTTTACTATGTGAGCACTAGTACAAGTTTCTGCCCAATTTTCAGTGTGTTTAATCTCCCCACACCTAAGTTTTTAATTTTATTTTACAATACATCCATATCAATGCGTGAACAGTGTGGCATCTGGGTATCATACATTTTAGTACAAGTAAAAATAGTGCTATTAATTGATTTATTACATTCCTCGAGCTTATGTAGTTCTAATGTTAATACACATATTTGTATTAAATTGTAGACTTTCATTATTTAATTATTCAGTGTTTCAATACGTTATTCCAGTGCCAATCACAATATTGTTTAAAGTTTAAACATGCATAATACCATCATTCAATTTCTAATCTTCCCTCTTATTATTACTTTTGTCTTATTGTATAAAAGTCTATAATAATATTAGTATGTTTAATCTATTTTGCTACATTTTAACTGAAGATTTCCATTATTTTTTTTATCTTTTAAAGCATAACATTTGAAATACCAGTTGAAAAAATGAAGTAGATTAAATATGATAGGATACATTAAGGCAAATTTAATGTAGTGGTTAAGGCACTAGGCTAGAAACCAAGAGAATGGAATTTCTAGGTCCTACCTTAGGCACAAAGCCAGCTGAGTGGCCTTTGGCCAGTCCCTCTCACTCAGCCTTAGAAAGCAGGCCATGGCAAACCACTTCCAATATCTTGCTAAGAAAACTGCAGGGAATCACATTGACTCTAAAGTACTAAATAAACAAACCCATTGTCTTATGGCTGTTCTTAAGTGGGGGTTCCCCAAGACTCTTTCAGAGGTCCACAAAATCAAAACTATTTTCCTGCCTATGTTGAAAAATTACACATTAAGTCCCATCAAACAATTATGAGAAGCAACAACAGTAGTGAATGCATCAGTGTTAATTTTTTTATATCGCAAATATCAATAAAATACAACCCATACAAACAAAATCTCTTTTGGGGATTACACATATAGATTTGTATATATGTAGATTTGTTCCCTATATGATTTTAAGTGGAAAGTTTCCATACCATTTTGAAGTTCCTCTCCAGTTTAAAAAAAAATGGATAGCCTTTTTAAAAATCCTTTCCAACACAATTTAATATTTTGTAGTTGTTCTTGATTACACAGCCATTGGTTTTTTTTTTTTAGATACCTGACTTTGAAAACTTCATTGCATCTTTAAATGATCAGGGTTATTTCTTGAAGAAAGGTCCGAGATTATATCAGCTTCAGACAATGTGAAGTAGTTCAATACCTAAAGAGAACCGTTTACTAAGAAGAAAAAGAAAGGAACATAGAGGATTGCAACTCATTCCTGTTTCTTATTCAGCTGAATTCTTGCCTGCTAATACCGGTATGAGTGTTTGTAGAATTCATGCATTGGTTAAAACAATCTGAAACAAGATTAATGTAAATGTAGTAAGGGCAGAAGAAACTGACTTCCCTGCTCTTCTTGACATTCTTGAAAAAGGTTCTGTAAGAATCTGATAACTCAGGTGATATGTGTTGTGATGCAAAGGATATGGGAAATATCTCAAATACTGGATGAAGAAAGTGAAGGGGCTTTATTTATCTATGTATTGACATAAAACAATCCATTTACTAATTATAATACTTTTGAAAGCTATATACAGTAATGTTTCAAACCACTCTTGTTAACATTTTGCCTGATTTGAGTCATTTTGTTAACCCTATTATTTATTGATTTATGAATATGGTGCATATTTTAAAGTCAAAGTACACTTGCATTTATTTAGTCTTCTGTGAATGAGCAAAGTTCATGTTCTAAATATTATACCATTAAAAGAATACATTGTTGGATTATTTAAAACACTTAGTTTGGTAATCCTTAATTTGACAATAAGTTGAGTACAGATCAGTATATATAACAATCACCAATGAACAAAAATGGAAGGTTTTCTATGTGGAGAATCTTAAATTTATTATCTTAGTGGAATGAAAGAGAAAGCATGCATCTCACATTGGGCAATGCAATAGCTGGACACGGTATGGACTAATTTCTAGTGCTTTTTTCCCCATTGAAAAATAAGTATGACATTATCTGTCACTTGTGTAATATATGTATGTTTTTGAAATTACAGTATCAGTTGATTTCATTTATTTATTTATTTTTATTTAGCAATTTTCTACATTGCCAATCTCATCAACTCCCGGCAGTTTGCAAACATGCTATAAAAATGACCAAAAGGCACATTTACAAACAATTAAAAAACAAGGTTAAAATTTATAAGTTAAAAGTAAAAAACAAAGTTAAAAAGTTAACAGAGCTAAAAGTTAGCAAGGCAAAGGGAAAATCTTCAAGCAAGGGTTCTGGAAGGCCAGAAGAGTGGGCTTGCCTTGCCTCTGGAGGTAAGAGGTTACAAAGGGTGGGGGCAGAAAAGGTCCTCTTCCTAGATCCCGGTGGTTGAAATTTTTTAACCAATGGGATTTGCAGCATATCTTCCCTGCCTTACCGGGGGGGGGGGGGGGGGGGGGAAGCGCAAACTGGTTGATGGTTTGTCAGTTAACCGGTCTCATGCCATGAAGTACATTAAAAGGAATAACAACTTCAATTGGACCTGAAAGCAAACTGGCTCCAGTGCAACTTGTGTAGCAGAGGTTACATGCACTCTATAGGGGTGTCCGAAACTGCTCCAAATTTGGACATCCTTCCAGTCAGTACATTTAAACACATCCTTTGGCAGATACATTTTGATAAAAAATCTTAATTGCTTTCGCAACGTTTTCCACTGTTCCTTGCAAAACTCTTGTAGTGCAAAATATTCTTAAGACTAAATAGCCTTTCAGATGTGTTATTTCATGTAGATGGTTGACGTGGTTATGTTTTGGACATATTTCTTGCTGAAATATTCAACGCCTTCTCAATTTCAATTTCTTTACTATTTACATTTGGGGCTGATGGGATAAGAAATTCAAAATAGCTGGATAGTGTCAAATTATCTAGTCTAAAATTTATCATTAAGGTTTTGGCAAGAAGGTGGAAAACAATATATGTAGCTGGCTTCATCTTTGTGATTTCCTGGCTAGGGCTACCAAAACTGGACTTCAAAAATCAGGATACCAACCAGATGGCAACAGAAAGAATAACATACATTGCTGCTTAGTTCTATTCTTGGTTCTACACAACTACTGCTATGAGTTCTGTCCCACACCTCTAATTACCATCACTCCATTACTGAGAACTTTCACTGGTCATCTACAAATATTGTATACTCCACTAACAAATTAAATAAATATATGTATAGCTAATTCTAGGGTAAACAATGAATGCCAGTATGGATATTCTGAATAAAGTTTTGATATTCTTCAAACAAAGCAACTTGGTCATTGGTAATTTTTAATGCATATTATTTTTAAAGACAAGGATAATAGGTCTGAAGGAAAGTCCAATCTTTTGGAGTCTATAGCAAGTAGTATCATTGAGTCAACTTTGGCTGCACTAGAACTGTTGGATGGGATACCAAGAAGAAATCCCAGCACTAGGCCAGACAATACAGTTGGAGAAATATCTGGAAAGAAGGGATTGGTACAGCAGATGCTGAGCTGGACTTGTTTTTTTTTTTTTCCTACCTTCACTTTTTTGGGAAAATGAGGGCTATGGTGGGCACAGCATTGATGCAGAGGTATATCAGTATGCCATGTTATATGAGCAGAGTATTTGTTTTTTGAGATTTTGGAGGGCTTTGGAAATATTTTCAACTTTTTAAAAAACTGTAAAACTGTTAGAAATGATGCCACTGGTTTTTGGTAATGTGATTTATTGAGAGCTACAAAATGGTATTCCATCCCCTAATTTTACATAGCTCCAGGACTCCCGCTTACACAACTCTGCTACATATTTTGCAGCAGTCAAGATTTTACACACACACACACACACACACACACACACTGTATGTATGTATGTATGTATGTATGTATGTATGTATGTATGTATGTATGTAT